TACAGGGAGAGGGGAAATGGCGCCTTCCCCTCAGGCAGAGAGCGGGAGGGGGGTGCGGAGAGGGGAAATGGCGCCTTCCCCTCAGGCAGAGAGCGGGAGGGGGGTGCGGAGAGGGGAAATGGCGCCTTCCCCTCAGGCAGAGAGCGGGAGGGGGTACGGGGAGACATGGCGCCTTCCCCTCAGGTAGAGACTGGGAGGGGGTACAGTGGGACATGGTGCTTTCTCCTCAGGTAGGGACTGTGAGGGGGTACGGAGAGGGGAAATGGCGCCTTCCCCTCAGGCAGAGACCAGGAGGGGGTACAGGGAAACATGGCGCCTTGCCCTCAGGCAGAGGCTGTGAGGGGGTACAGGCAGACATGATGCCTTCCCCTTGAAGAATGAATCCAGGCTGGTTGGAGTCATCTCCCGCAGCCCGGCATTGCGGAATAAGGGACATTTACTTCTCAGTTGAACCTCTTGCCAGTGGTGTCACCCGGCTGCGTTCACTGCCTTGCCTGAGATGGGGACTCAGTCTTCCTCTGAGCTGCTGGCACGGTGTTCGTGCTCCAAAGCGTCTGTCCAGTTCCAGGATGGGTTAGAAGTCACCGTTGGCAGGGTGGAGGTCTTCTCAACCCAAACTCTGGGTCTCCTGAGCACAAGTTACTTAGACTGACCAATTTTGGAAATGTGTGGCCATATTAGGTGTCTTCTAACACTTGTCGTGGTTTCTTCATTCAGGAGGGGTATTGCATGTATCCATGGAGTGAACAGGCGCTGCACAAGTAGACCGTTGCGGATGCTCGGAAAAATGCTGAGGTCACTTAACAGATACCTGTTACTGGGCTCTCATCTCCCAGCTGCATCTCCAGTGATGGCTGGAGCTGCGACTTGCAGCCTTACTCATAGCGAACAGGAACACCAGCTGTATTAAATACCGTCTAAGGGCAAACTGTATCAAAGCAAACAAAACGTGAACTTGATTGCCCAGTGCAGAGTTCATATTCTTTTTAGCCTGAAGAAGAGAAGGCTGCGAGGGGACCTTATAAATGCTTATAAATGTCTGAAGGGTGGGTGTCAGAAGGATGGGGCCAGACTTTTCAGTGGTGCCCAGCGACAGGACAAGGGACAACGGGCACAAACTGAAGCAGAGGAAGTTCTGTCTGAACATGAGGAAGA